CAGCATCATGGGCCAGTTTGACCACCCCAACATCATCCACCTGGAGGGTGTGGTGACCAAGAGCCGCCCCGTCATGATCATCACGGAGTTCATGGAGAACTGCGCACTTGACTCCTTCCTCCGGGTGAGCGTCCATCCTCTCCTGCCCTGGGCTAGGGGCTGTGTCACAGAGGGGACAGCAGCTCTGAGACTTCCTCTGTTGCTGTGCTGGCATCCCCAGGGCCAAGCTGTGCATAGACATTGTGGGGTCAGGGAAGAGGGGTGGCTCTAGGGAGGGCAAAGGTGGTGGAAGCACATTGGGATCCTTCCCCAATCCATTTGGGGTGTTGCAAACGCATCTGATTTCTCCTGTGGCAGCTGAACGACGGGCAGTTCACAGTCATCCAGCTGGTGGGAATGCTGCGAGGCATCGCCGCTGGCATGAAGTACCTTTCGGAGATGAACTACGTACACCGGGATCTGGCTGCCCGCAACATTCTGGTCAACAGCAACTTGGTCTGCAAAGTGTCCGATTTTGGGCTCTCTCGCTTCCTGGAGGATGACCCAGCTGACCCCACCTACACCAGCTCCCTGGTATGGGACACTCAAGGGGGGGAACCACCGATCCAGGGGTGGGGGGAGACACCCCAGGTACGTGCTAAATAATGGAGCTGTGTATCCCTGCAGGGGGGCAAGATCCCGATCAGATGGACGGCTCCTGAGGCCATCGCCTACCGCAAATTCACTTCGGCCAGCGACGTGTGGAGCTACGGCATCGTCATGTGGGAAGTGATGTCCTACGGGGAGCGACCGTACTGGGACATGTCCAACCAGGATGTAAGTGCTCCCTGGGGAGTGGGGAGCTGTGGGCCACCCGTGGGGGCCTGAGTGGCTCATAGCCTGCCTCTGCATGTCTCTCTGCAGGTGATCAACGCAGTGGAGCAGGATTACCGCCTGCCACCCCCCATGGACTGCCCCACAGCACTGCACCAGCTGATGTTGGACTGCTGGGTGCGGGACCGCAACCTGCGGCCCAAGTTTGCACAGATCGTCAACACGCTGGACAAGCTCATCCGCAATGCTGCCAGCCTGAAAGTCATCGCCAGTGTCCAGTCTGGGTCAGTGGCATCCCCACCTCCAGCCAGGACTCCCCCCAAACCCAGGGAACGCTGGGCTGGTTGGGACAAGAGATGTGGGAGGGAGGGCAGGGATAAGAAATCTCCCCCGTTTCCAGTTACACCTCTCTGTCCCCTGCTCCCAGTGACCTAAGGCTCTCTTGCCCTTTAGCGTCTCCCAGCCACTCCTGGACCGCACCGTCCCAGATTACACCACCTTCACCACCGTGGGAGACTGGCTGGATGCCATCAAAATGGGACGGTACAAGGAGAACTTTGTCAATGCCGGCTTTGCCTCCTTCGACCTGGTGGCACAGATGACTGCAGAGTAAGTCCCCACTGGCAGAGGAGGGAGAGGGCTGGAGCAGCGGCGTGTTGTCCCCTGTCCCTCGCCTCTCTGGCAGCCAGTACCTCCCTCCTGAGCTTGTGGAGAGATGAGTTGTGGATGGGGTTTTCCCAGGTGGGTTAAGGTCTGGGATTCAGCATCCAGTCCCCTGTGGTGTTAGAGGGACACTGGAGCTTGGCAGAGGGGTGTAAAGAAGATGGGTCCCTTGGCAGCAGGGCCACGTGCTGGTATTGCTGCTGGCAGGGGGCTGAGTCCTCACCTTCTCCTTGCAGAGACCTGCTGAGGATAGGGGTGACGCTAGCAGGGCACCAGAAGAAGATCCTGAGCAGCATTCAGGACATGAGGCTGCAGATGAACCAGACACTCCCAGTGCAGGTTTGACCGGAGGGGACTCTGCATTGGAACGGACCGAGGGAACCTGCCAACCAGGTTCAGTTTGCGGTGCAGCCCGGCTTCCCGTTTCCCCCTTCACACGGCGCTCCTCTGCCTCGGACGGTCGCCTGGGACGGGACGGGACGGGCCGCCCTTCCCTGGATCGGAGGCACTCGTGTCGAGAGGGAGCCCAGCTTTTCGTCCCGTGTCCTGGAGCGGCGAGGCAGCAACACGTCTTCATATTGAAGATGGATTATGGGACAGAGATGGCACATCCTGCTTCCCGCCCTGTCTCGGTGCTCATCGGTTTGAAGAGTTGTTCTGCTTCTTGGATTTCTTTTCACCCCATTTTCCCCTCAAGTCCTCACTTCCCATCCTTCCCTGAGGCCACAGACTGTTGACCCGTCCGCTGAGTCTGTCAGACATGTCCGAAGCCTTCCCTGACTCTGGTCCCCGCGTGG